AACAAGGTGAGAACTCAATTAAGCACAACTCTTAGTCACAAATCCACAACCCCAAATTATACTTTGAATGTAAATACAATAAGCTCAAAAGGTTGTGTGTGAACAAAGAGATATAAATCAAAACTAAACTCAATGTAGTTCTAGCTTAATAACAATGATAATCAAATATAGAGTTGGAGGCAGAATAGTTGGATGCCCAAACACCAATAGATGATCTCCTCAAGCTCTTGTGAAATTGATTTCACAAACTCAAACTCTCAAATACTTAAAAGCTTCTTAAACAAACTTAAACAACACTTAAACCCTTGTTGAAACTTTGTTAAAACATTTCTTGGATTAGTAAAAAGAGATCAGCAATGGGGTATTTATACCCACTCAAGATCTCAACAAAAACCCCAAGCAAAAGACAAAAGAGCCCCCAGAAAACAGCTCAGAAAAATAGCCGTTGGGAACCAACGGATCTATTGGCGGTCGACTGGCGGAAATTTCGGTCGACCGACGGAGAGCAAAAACACGAAGAACTGTTCTGGACAATCGTCGGTCGACCGGTGCGGTCGACCGAAGGAAAATATCGAGCTCTCGGTCGAATTGTTAAGTCCAAAAACTAAGAATATAATATTTTCACAAAATTGCATATTCTATGCAATAAATACCAAAACACAATAGTAAATATGAAACATGTGATTTCATATTTATAAACATGAAAACTCAAAACTATGTATGTATATATATAAAACTATATATATGCATAGAAACCAAAACTTGTGTATATATATATAACTATATATATGTACGAAGAAACCAATAAATGTGTGTGTATATTATATTGAGCTTAGAGTATCTAACACACATAATATAAAATCTAAACTAAAGTTACCCAAGCAATGATCTTGATCTTCATTGTAGCTCAACTTGGTACACGTTGCGGATGAAGCTTGAACTTGATCTTTAACTTGAATTGTATAAGCTTCACCGACATTCCGCCAACCTCCTTTGGATATGATCGTTGAAGCTCTATTTCATCCATCCTCCAACAACGTTATTTGTCTACAATACATAGGAATGCACAAACACTAGACAAACAACATTAGTAGTAAATTGTTTGTAAATCATCATCAAAACAAGAAGGCCAACAACCTTGAGGAGATCTCCACTATATCTTAAAATCTACACAAACGGTTTTCAAATATCACTAATAACTTTTATAATTCACATGATTGTCAATCCCACAATCAACACTCCTCTAAGTATTGGACTATCTGTGTCACCTTCCTCAAGTGTTTAGAATTACAACATCTCCCTAGGATTTACAACCAACCCACTCCTCTAAGTATTATTGTATATTACAACATGTTTTAACAATAAGTGCAAATAAAAGATTTGTTCTCTAATACAAATGATAACGAAATGTAAAGCTCTCTCAATGAAAACATTCTCACAAACCGGTTATACTAAATGTGAAATTCTTAAGCTCAAGTGGTTGTGTGTATAACAATGAGTAAAATAAAATCAAACTCAATTAAATCTAGCTTATATATGAGAATCAAAATATAAGATCAGCTAGAGAATGATTTTAGAAAAACTTCTCCAAAAACAAAGGAGAGATTGAGATTTGACGATGAATGCTTCAAAACCGAAATGAGGATTCTTCACTTGTAAAGCTCTTTTTCTCATAAACAAACACACTTCTTTTTCTCAAAAAACTTGCAGACAAAATGGCTAAACTATCTTTAAAAAAAACTTCTCTTGAAAAATAAGTCTTGAGAGCTATTTATAGCCTCTCAAACAAATCTGCCAAAAACTAGCCGTTACAGCAATATGAGCAAATCAGTCAATTGGTTGCTTTTAGCGGTCGACTGATCAACTTGCCGTTACTATAAAGAAAAATGATAGCCATGACTCAGTCGACTGAAAAGCAAGATTAGTCGACTAAAAACACTATGTTCGGTCAATTGATTTTATATTATGTCGATCGATTGATAGACTGTAAAAATGAAAGCTGTAAAAATTGCTTCTGGTCGGTCGACCGAAAAACATGCACAGTAGATATATGAAAAACGGAAATGTTTTTCTAAATTTAATTTAAAATAGTAAATCAACTTCAAAAATAGTAAAACTTAGGAAAACATTTATACACATGAGAATAAACATGTTAGAGAAGAAATTTTTAAAATAGCATTTCGCATTTGTGAAAACTCATTGTTTTGCTAACCCGTCAAAAATACTAGTTTGTTAAGTACTTGATTTTGATGAAATTTCTTCAAACAAGTTTTGAGATTCTTTTCACCTGGATTAATAGACTTTAGAAAAGTTGTAAAATAGTTCCATTAAGTCAATAATCCAAAAACACGTTATATTCCCAAATAGATGTATAATACGATAAATCGAGATAAAGCGATAAAACAAAACGTGTATGTGTATGGTTTGAACTTTAAGTATAAACACATAAAGTAGAACACCTAAACTAATAAACACTATACCAAGCTAAGATTCTTCGTTCTTTAAGTATAAACACATAAAGTAGAACACCTAAACTAATAAACACTATACCAAGCTAAGATTCTTCGTTAAGCTCGATCTTGGTAGCGGGGATGAAGACCTAAACTAATAAACACTATACCAAGCTAAGATTCTTCGTTAAGCTCGATCTTGGTAGCGGGGATGAAAAAATAGTGTGTCTTGACTTGAATGTGCAAAGGCTTTATTCCGATTTCCTCCAACCTCCATGAATGTTATCGTTAACACTCAAGTCCATCCAACCTCCAACTGAGATGTTTGTGTAGGATACCTAACAAGCAAATGTAAATACTTAAAAGGCGATGTTAGAAATTGTTTGTTAATCATCAAAACCAGATTATATAATATGCTAATAAACATAAGACCTAACAGGATATACTATTCTGATATTTTCGTTCCCGTCGTCAAGTTAATCACGATCCGGACTGTGCTGAGCATTGTGGCAGTTCGAGATCTCTATCTAGAGCAGATGGATGTGAAGATGATATTCCTTCATGAAGATTTGGAGGAAGAGATCTATATGCATCAACCAGTGGGCTTCGAGGAACGAGGCAGGGAGGGCCTCGTGTGTTGCCTGCGCAAGAGCTTGTATGGCCTGAAGTAAGCTCCGTGACAATGGTACATGAAGTTCGAGAACTTTATGGTGGAGAACAATTTTTTCAAATGCAACACAGACCACTGCTGCTTCATCAAGAGGTAAGGCAAATCCTATGTGATACTCTTTGATTTATGTTGATGACATGTTGATTGTAGGCGCCAGACTTGGCCCGCATTGAGGAACTCAAGGGATGTCTCTCCGAGTGCTTCGAGATGAAGGATTTGGATCTAGCAAACTAGATTCTTGGGATGAGGATCATCAAAGACAAATCAACACTAAGGCTGAGGTTGTCTCAGAAGGCCTACATTGAGAAGATTCTTGAAAAGTTTAGCATGGAAAAAGCTAAACCGGTAGGCTCACCGTTTGCGAGCCATTTCAAGCTATCAAAGACCCAAGCACCTGAGGCTGGTGAAGAGCATGAGTTTATGGCCAACATACCATACACATCTGCCTCAGAGAGTTTGATGTATGTGATGGTGTGAACGAGGCCAGATATTATACAAGGAGTGGGAGTTGTGAGCCGCTTCACGAGCAATCCGGGGAAGAACCACTAGGGTGCGGTCAAGTGGCTTCTACGCTACTTGAGATGTTCGTCTGGCCGTTATCATGAGTATGACGGGGCGGATTTACAACTAGAGGGTTTTTGTGATGCAGACTACGCCGGGAACATAGACTCAAAACACGAGCGGCTACATCTTCATCCTGGGTGGTGGAGTAATAAGTTAGAGATCCAAGTTACATGATACTGTGGTTATGTCGACAACCGAAGCCAAGTACGTGTCTGCAGCAGAGGCAGCAAAGAAGTTGCTATGGTTGAAAATTTTCTTCTCGAGCTTGGGGTAAGCTTTGAGAAATACTTCATCCACTGCGACAGTCAGAGTGTCATTCACTTGTCAGAGAACAATGCATTCGATGCTCGGATCAAACATGTTGACGTGAAGCATCATGCCATACGGCGATGGCAAAGCAGGAACGAATTCAAGCTTGTGAAGATTGATACGAGGTATAATCCAGCCGATATGCTGACCAAGACAGTTCCGCTCGAGAAGGTGAGGCTGAGTGTAGCCTCATATGGCATCCGTTGAGATTGTTGAGGGTCGTGCAAGACGTCAAAGATATAAGACATCCGGATGATGCAACAAAAAATGATGTGAAGATATGATTAATACTCAATCAAATTTTCAAGTGAGAGATTGTTGAAAGGGATGTGTGTTAGGTGTTAAAAGGGACGTGTGTTAGGCACCGATTTTTGGGTAGAGTTAGGAAGAGTTTGAAAAAAAATAAAGTGGTGGGCCCCATCACAGAAAAAATTAGTATAAAATTAGTGTATAGTGTTTTTCCTGTCACTATAAATAGGCCTAAAACTCTTCAGAAAAAATCATCTCAGAAACAACTCCTCTTATAGAAGAGTGAGAGAGAAAATATAGAGAGAGTTTGTGAGAATTCTTGGAGAGTATCTTGATCAAGAGAGGGTTTTCTCTTTGATCTTTTCTTTGTAACATCGGAAAGTAATATAAAGGAATTGGGCGGCATCGTTGTACCATGGGGTAGCTCCGTAAGAGTGAACCTCGTTATATCTGTGAATACTGTAATTGAATTTGCATCTGATGATTTTATTCTGTGATTCCACGTTTGTTTGGGTGTGCATTGCGTCTCTGTTCGAGGCGTTCTTGTTGTCATATTTCGTAACAAAATAAACTGGTTATATCCTAGGAACCATAAAGTCGTCCTACAACACACACATGTAAAGAAAATTAAATGGTTTTTATGACTAAGATGTCACAATCTTTCAAAAAAGGGACATATCCATCTTGGAAACATAATAGAGTTTGCTTCTTTTCTCCATATAAGCATATGCTAACTGCGTCCTTGCTGTTTTTAACAGGTGAAGCGACACAAACGCAGGACAGATTCCGTGTAACTTTTAGTGGTCAGAGTGACAGATCATCAAATGTTTTGGACACTTACAAGTTTGGTAGAAAAGCGATAGAGATGATTGATGATTTCAAGTATTTGAAGGACACGGTACCCCTGGATGTCGCCACAAAGCTGGAAGCAAATAGCTATGTGGAAAGGTCAGGCAGAGCCATGGTGGGAAGGGAGCGAGAGTTTCAGAGGCTTCAAGAACTTGCTGGTGATGATGACGTGAGCATCATTGGGATCTACGGGATGGGCGGGGTCGGAAAGACGGAACTCCTTAATAAATTCTATAATGAGACCCATCTTAAGGATACTCATGACATGATTTGGATTGATATGAATGCTTGTCACAGTGTACAAGATTCTCAAAGGGCTATTGCAGCGAAGTTAAAAGTGCGTTGGAATGAAAATGAACAGCAGGAACGAGATCACCCCATATCTCAGTACCTAAACAAGAAAAGTTATGTGCTAATTTTGGATGGTATGTGGGAAGAAGTGAATCTCGATGATGTTGGGATCCCAAGCCCACGGCAAACCAGGTCCAAGGTCATACTGACGACACGAATAGAACGTGTATGTAGCAGAATGGGCGCATCAAGAGCCAAGATCCAAGTCAAATGCTTAAAGTTCGATGAAGCTTGGAGTCTATTTACAGAGGAGGCAGGCGAGGGACTCATCAATTCTCACAGAATGGTCGAGCGTCATGCTAAGGAACTAGTGGGAAAATGTGGGGGTCTGCCACTTGCCCTCGTAACAGTTGGACGTGCTATGGCCGGCAAGGAGGATCCTCAATCATGGAAGCATAAAATCGAACAACTAGATTCTTCACCTCAGGAGATTCTAGGCCCTGAAGTTCTTTCTTCTTTGGCGCGTAGTTTTGACGAGCTTGCTGATGACAGACTGAGAAAGTGTTTATTGTATGTTCTCTTGATTCCAAGACGTGACAGGGTTTATAAGGAATGGATCATTGACTACTGCATAGGAGAAGGGGTTATAGATGATCTTCGCCGTGATGGGGATCAGGTTTATAATGAGGGTCGCGATTTACTTAGTGAACTAATGTCTAAATCGCTGTTAGAGAGTTCTGATTATGATGACGTGGAAACCGTCAAGATGCACCCTGTGATTCGTTCCATGGCCCTGTGGATAGCTAGAGGACGTGGAAATGAAGAGAACAAGTGGCTGGTGGAAGTAAATAAACAGCTGAGATCCCAACCCAGTGCTGAGAAGTGGAGAGGAGCAGAACGAATTTCACTCGCAGGAAATGAGATAACTGAGCTGACTCAGATACCAGACTGCCCATCTTTGATAACCTTCTCGATGTGGCTGAATCCGGGATTAGCTAAGATATGTAACGGCTTCTTCCTAGCCATGCTAAATCTGAAGGTGCTAGACCTATCACACAGTCGTATTGAGGAAGTTCCAGCTGAAATCGGGCGGCTGCTGGAGCTCCGGTACCTTGATTTCTACAACACTAAAATCCGTTCGCTACCAGAAGAATTGGGCTGTTTGAAAAAGTTGAGGTTCTTACTGTTGTCTCGCACGCCCAACCTGACCAAAATTCCTAAAGGATTAATAAGAAAACTCTATGAATTGCGAGTTTTGAGGATGTACAACAGTTACAACAATTGGAATGCGGAGACGGATGGGGATGGGCTGGAGTTGGAAGAGCTTCAGAGTTTGGAGAAGTTGAAAGCGCTTGGAATCAGCATTAATAATGTCCTCGCCTTGGGAAAGCTTGCTCAATCTCACAAATTGGCTGATTCCACACGTTATCTTGAAATAAGCATCTCCCCAGGTCTGTCAAAACTTTCAACTGCAGACCTGGGGAAAGACTACAGAGCTCTTAAAGACCTTCGTCTCTATCGTTGCAGCGACCTGGAGAAGTTGGAAATCGCTGAAGGTGATGACTTTGAACACTCCAGATTGCCGTGCTTGACAGAAGTCTACCTATTTGAGCTTCCAAGAGCCAAAATTCTTTGGAGAAGTGGGTGTCTCGATAACCTGAGCTTTCTACGTATTGAAGATTGCAAAGAGATGAGACAGCTAATACACTACGAGGAGGAGGAGGAGAAAGAAGAAGAAGAGAAGACCAAAGAGATTGATGTTTTGCCACAGCTCACAACGTTGTTACTCTCTAACCTGCCAGAGATTGAGACGCTAAGCTGTGGGAGAAGACTACTGGCATTCCCTTCCTTGAATGAGCTCCACATCAGTAACTGTCCCAAGCTGAAGACGCTTCCATTAAATGCACGTAAGCTGAAATGCATCAAGGGTAGCAAAGCATGGTGGAACAATTTAGAATGGTCGGAAGGCGACAACACAATCAGGTCCGAACTCAAGGCCATCTTCGAGGAGGATGAACCCCCAAAGTAGTTGTATGTTTGTCTAAATTTGCTTCTCTTGCTGATGCGTGCTATCATTTCGAATTTACTTATGCATTTTTTTTTTTTTTGAGTGCTATCATGTCGAATTTACTTATGAATTTCCTTATGTATTTATGTATCCATATCGTGATTTATAACTGCTGTTAAAATATATTGGCTATGCGTGTCCCAGAGTGTTGTACTTGGGGTTGAAAAGGATCTGTAACTCCTGAAACATCATGAACAACAAATTTATTCTCAACTGATATGTACTTTGTGGGAGGAAATAAACTTTTTTTGCCAATTAGTTAACAAACAGTACCATCAAACTTATCCAATACTTTTCAGAATAAATTATAAAATATCATTCTATGCTTGTCCTCTAAAGATAACTTTTTAACTTTTGTGTTAATTTCCGGCATGATACCTTTGTTAAATAATCAGACATCTTTTATTCCAACCCCCGCTGCTTCCCCTCCACACCTTTTTATGTTTGTCACTTAAACATAACAAAATGATTTTCTTTTGTGTTTATTTCCATAAATGTTACCTCTGTTAGCTAATTTGACATATTTTATTTCTACTCCTGTTGATAGCCCATACAGCATGGAAATAACTTTATGTTCCACTAAAGATTGAAAAAATTTAGTGGTTATTGAAAGACTAAAGAAAGCTAAAAACACTTCTCCCATCCTCCATTTTTAAGGTTAGAAATATATGCGTGTACAAGTTGGTATATGATCTTTCTAATAAATATAATGGAAACAAAATTAACACAAACTCCCATCCTCCATTGTGTGTGAGTGTGTGTCTGTGTCTTTCTATTAGTCGATATACACATATGACAAACATGTGTGTGTGCGAGCGCTAATCAAACACACACACACATGTGTGTGTATATATATATATATGAGAAAAATGAAGAATATTGGTACCAAGTTCCTACATTAAACTTGGTAGTGATGTGGACTAATCCGGTCCCTACATCTACATTGGAGTTGGTGAAAGGTGGTTGAGCCTCGATTTTTCGAGTAGTGATGTAGGGGCCAGATTAGGCCACATCACTACCAAGTTCAATGGAGCAACTTGGTACAAAGATATCTCTCATCCCATCTCTCCTCCTCTGCTCTCTCTCTCTCTATATACTATATATATATATATATATATTAATATATATATATATGATATATATATACTATATATATATATATATATATATATATATATTATATATAAAGACTTGGTATCAAGCATCAATTCTGTGCTTGGTAATGAAGTGCCTCATTCCATCATCCCCTCTCATCCAACACCATGTGAATATCGTCCTATTTGAAGAATTGAGTGATTGACACTGAACCACCTCACTACCAAGCACACAAACTTGTGCTTGGTACCAAGTTCCTCTATATGGCTCATATATAAAGATACTGTTAGAAGAGAGTATTAGTGTAGCATTTGTTTAGTCCCACATTACTTGTGAGACTAATTTGTAACTAACTCATCTCTATAAATAACAAAGTATAGAGTGAGGAGAAGACACTCTAATAAACTATTTTCTCTTCAAATCTTAACATGATATTAGAGTCTATCCCTAACCCTAACCCTAATAGTAATCCAACATCCTAAGCTTAACCTCAACCCTAATAGTAATCTAACTTCCTAAGCCTAACCCTAACCCTAATTCCCGCTGCTGCTTCGATTTGTCGCTGCTTCGTATGTCGTCGTTGTTGCGTTCGCGATCTTCCATCGCTGCTGCGTCGTCTAGATCGGAGCCTTTGCCGCCAACTCATCCGCAGCCAGATCTGAGTCTTCGTCGCCAGCTCACCCGCCACCAGCTTCGTCCGGACCTACCACCGCCGCCGCCACCATGGGGCCTTCACTCACCGCCGCCATGCTCCTCTGTCCCCCCTCCCTCTTTGTTTTCTGATCTGAATCAGATCTAGGAGTTGTACTGTAAAAATAAAAATTAAAAAACATTCGGTTTCTTAAACTTTAACATTCGGGTTCCATCTTAACCTTCGGGTTCCTGATCTTTAACCTTCGGGTTCTATGTTAACCTTTGAGTTGTTGTACTTTAACCTTCGGGTTCTTAGACTTGTTCAGCCTACTAGCTAATTCAAGAATTATTATCTTGAACTTAGACATTCTTTGATTATTTTTAGTTTGGAGTACAATTTGTGAAGGGTATCATCTTGAACTCTACTCGTCTGTTTCATGATAGCTAGATCTGAGGAACTCAAGAATTTTGAGTTAACAGTCTAGACGAAAGTTTCGGAGATATTTTCTGATAGAATCCTTGACTGGAAGCTTGATGGAATTAATTATTTCCAGTGGAAGCGTGTTATTGAAATATATATGGCAGACCTAGCCAAAACTGACAATTTGTTGACGGACCCTCCTACTCTAACACCGGAATCTTGGACATTGGATGATAGTGTCCTCTTGCATCAAATTCTTAATACTATGGAGCCTAAAATTAGGATTTAGTTCTTTATTGTATGACAGTGAATGAACTTTGGTGCTTTTTGCAAGATCTCTATGGGGATAGCACCAATATCAAATCGGGCATATTAAGTAATTCAAGAGTTGTTTCGTAAGAAACAGGATGGTAAACCTATGGATGATCATTATAGTGAGTTTAATCGTCTTGTTGAGGAACTTCGTTAAATTTTTTCTATTACTATGGATGTAAAACAAATGCAGAATCAATGGAATAAACTTATGGTACTCACTTACTTGGGTACCCTAGATTCCATTTACTCCTCTGCTCGACCACAAATCATGGGGAGCTTGTGGGTTATAGGCCTACCACGCTTTCACTGCGCCATTAGTTCTCTCGCTGAGACTTATTACTTTCTGAAGAATGTTGTTCCTGCACAACCATTTACATCCACTGCGGATCGCTCTGTGCTTGCCACTCAGAGTTGAAAGCCTTATGGATGAGCGGGTAATACTGGTGGTCCTGGAAGAGGTAGAGGAAACTTTGAATGGAGAGGAGGTTACCAAACTGGTCATTCTAGGGGCTGAGGTGGTCAATAATATGGCCATGGAGGTTCATCTCAAGGCGGACATGCTCATGGCGATGACTCGGTGAAGACTTGTAACTACTGCCACCAGTCAGGGCATCTCAAATATAATTGTCCTGAATTGGAAAAGAAGAAGGCCAATGGTGCTTACATGACCACTCAGGATAACTTCACCTCATATGATAGTGAAAGCCAACTACAGTCAGTCTTTCATGGTGCGGAGCTGCAACGTCAATTTCAGAAATTTTAATTATTCCAACAGTACCAGAGTTCACAAACATCATCTTCCTCCTTATCTGCTACTCTCAAAAGTGCAGGTACCCCTTTATCTTACTTACATCGTCTTCGTCTAATACTTGGATTATAGATACATGTGCCACTGATCATATGACTAGGAATTAAGGTATATTATCATCTTTCAGCCCTACATCTAATTCAGTTATATTAGCTGATGGTTCACATACACCTGTTCAGGGTGTCGGCAACATTAATCCTACTCCTAGTCTTCCTCTTTTCTCCATATTCTATCTTCCTAGTTTTTCCTATAACCTTTTATCTAGCAAGATCACAAAATCTCTAAATTGTACAATGACATTGTCTTTTAGGACATATTCGCGAGGAAAACGATTGGGACGGGACGTGAGCAGAATGATCATTATAAACTAGAATTGTGCGCCAAACATTTGGCTTGTATTAAAAACTTATCAGGCCTACAATACCACTATCAGTTACGACATCCCTCTCTCTCTATTCTCAAGTTATGTAATCCCCGGTTCAAATATCTTTCCTCATTAGAGTGTGAGTCGTGTCAACTTGGTGAACATCATCGTGTGTCTTATTCTAATCAAGTCAATAAGAGGGCTGCTAAGTCATTTGCTCTTATTCATTCTGATGTCTGGGGTCCATGCCTAATAACTTCTAACTTGGGGTTTCGGTACTTTGTCAGTTTTGTAGATGATCACTCTCGTGTTACCTAGATTTATCTTCTTAAGTCTAGGTCTGAAGTCTTTTCCACATTTAAACTCTTTTATTCTGAAATAGTCAATCAATTCAAGTCTTCGATAAAAAAATTTCGATCTGATAATGCAAAGGAATATTTGAACAGCAACTTCACTAGTTTCCTTGAACAACATGGATTCTCCATCAGTCTTCTTGTGTTTACACTCCTCAGCAAAATGGAGTTACTGAACAAAAGAATAGATCTCATTGGTACTGTTCAGACATTGCTAGTCCATCATCATGTTCCCAAAGAATTTTGGGGGGAAGCTATCTTAATAGCATGTTACTTGATTAATCGAATACCTTCTTCTGTTCTGCAAGATAAAATTCATTGCAAGATTCTATACCCAACGATGATCTCTTTCCGCTTCCTCCAAAGATTTTTGGCTCTCTGTGCTTTGTTCATAATCATAGCCCAAATAAACAAAAGTTTGACTCTCGGTCTATTAAAGGTATTTTTCTTGGCTATTCCTGAAAGAATAAAGAATACAAGTGTTTATGTCCGTCACTCAATCGTCTTGTGTTATTTGCTGATGTAACCTTCTTCGAAGATAAACCCAGTCATTCTAGTTCTCCATCTCTATTATCACTGGATGAGTATGACTATTTGATCTTGCAAGAGTCATTGGTTACCGGTGGTGGTTCATCCGCTGACAATACTATTTGCGTTACTAGCAAAGACTCAGTTCGGTTTAACGACCCAATTTAAGTTTATCATCGTCACTCTGCTCTTCTCCTGTGCCAACGTTGGCCTCAGCACCACGTCGTCCGTCCAAAGAGCCTGAATCTGTAAGTGCACATTTACCCCCCTTCTGCAGAAGACCTTCCTATTGCACTTCGAAAAGGGATACACACTTGTACTCAATATCCTATTTATAACTTTATCTTCTATGATTGCCTCTCTTCTACCTTTTGATCTTTTATTACTTCCCTCGACTCATATTTAGCTCCCAAGAGCGTGTTAGAAGCACTATTTATTCCAGGTTGGAACCAAGTGATGCAGGACGAAATGAGGGTCTTGTGGCAGAATGAGACTTGAGATTTGGTCCCACTCCCACCAGGAAAGTGGGTCGTCGACTGCAAGTGGGTGTACACTATCAAGTTAAATCCTTATAGAACTTTGGCACACCTGAAAGGTCGACTGGTTATTCGCAAGTGTATGACTTGGATTACGTAGATACCTTCTCTCCGGTGGAAAAAGTGACATCAGTCCGGATTTTTGTTTTGTTAACAGCGATAAATCATTGGCCACCTCATTAGTTGGACATCAAGAATGCATTCCTTAATAGTGTTCTAGATGAGGAGGTTTACATGGAGCAGCCACCAGGTTTTGTCGCTCAGGGGGAGAATGCGAAGGCATGTAGACTGAAGAAATCTCTTTATGGTCTGAAGCAGTCTCCGAGAGCCTGGTTTGGACATTTTGCATCGATTATGCAACAATTAGGGCTTTTTCATGCACAGAAAGATCATTCTATTTTCTAACGATTTCAGAATGGGAAACAAATTCTGCTCGTTGTCTATGTGGATGACATTGTAATTACAGGGGATGATGCTTCTTATATTGACAGCCTGAAAAAGTTTTTATAAACATATTTCCAAACAAAAGATCTTGGTTCCCTAAAA